AGCTATTAAAAAGAATGGAAAATGTCATTTGTGGCAATATGGAGGGACCGAGAGGTTGTCATACTGAGTGAAAGTAAGTCAGACAGAGAAAGACAAATATCTATGGTATCACTTACATTCAAAACTTTTAAAAGAGGGAGTACAAATGAGCTTATTTACAAAACAGAAGTAGAGTCATGGATGTAGAAAACAAATTTACGGTTTCCAGGGGATAAGGAGGGGTATGGATAAATTGGGAGACTGGGACTGACATATACACGATACTATACATAAAACAGATAACTAACAAGAACCTGTGGTATAGCAGGAGGAATCCTACTCAATACTCCGCAATGACACAAATGGGAAAAGAATCTAAAAAAGAGTGGATCTACATACAACTAATGCACTTGGCCGTACATCTGAAACTAACACAACATTGTAAATCAACTATACTTGTATAAACATTTTAAAAATTAACAAAGAAAAAGAAAGAAAGAAGTAATTTTGATGGTAGAGATCTCTGGCTGCTGGAGGGGAATAGGATTGTGACTGGGGGGGCACTTTTGGCAGCCAGAGCATAATCTGCAGTTTGTAGGGAGTATCTTTGAAGGGAGGAATGGGAAGTCCAGGTGTGTAGGCAAATGTAATATAAAGAGCATCACAAGTAAGGAGGAGAAAGGCACCAAGGAAAAAAGGAGAGTACCAATTCATACACAACCTTACCTAGACTCACTGCTGAAAGGTGTTAAAGGCACAGCTGTCCTTGAGCTGTCCCCCTTCATTTTCCATGCCAGTGCCCTGGGAGGGCAGTTCCCTACTTCTTGTCCCCTAGAAGAGCCAGACTGACACATACGTAGAGTAGGCTGTGACATGGTATGAGGACAGACCCTGACCAAGAGAATGTCTCCTTAAATGCCTGAAATTTCCCTAACTCAGAGGAACATGGATTAGCAGGCAGAGTTTTTATTGCAACAGTCACCTGGCTATGCATGATCGGCATTCCCACAGATTCTCCTGGATGCTTGTGGCATACTTCCTCACAAATTCCACTATGGCAACGGTGAGCTCAAAAAGGAGGGGTGGGTAATTTCTATTCTGGAGTCAGGTAGTTAATATTGAGTGTGGAGGGACAGGGCTGTTTCACTAGTTCAGGTATTAAAAGAGGAAAGAAGGAATTTAAGGATAGATCAAGGGGTTTCTGTTCTGGGAATAAAGTCATTCTGATGAGTCAGTCGGGGTGACTGAGGCAAGAGGACCGAATGTGGACGGTCTTGGGTAAGGAATGAAACCTACCTGAGCCTCTATTCTTACCTACCTGAATCTCATCTCTGTTTTCTCGTTTGTGAAAGGAGAATGTGGGCCACGATGAGCTTGGGTGACTCTTCTCCAAGTATTATTTTAGAGAATTATAAAACTCTACTTGTTTTAGAGTTTAATGTTTGTCATAGCCATGGTTTGATGCAGAGACTTGTCAGGAACACAGTCCTCAATTTGAACTTTTCCCAAAGGAAATTACAATCTCCTTTATTCCTACATGCTTTATAAAAACATTTTCAAGAATGCATTTAGAGAAAAATCTGTGATTGGGGTAGATGTTTAAGGCCAGACAGCTTAATTACAAATCCAGCTCCATTATTTACTGTGTTAACTCTCGACAAGGTTTTTCATCTCTCGGTGATTCCATTTCCTCATCTATAAAATGAGCAGTTTTATACAAGAAAAAGGTAACAGTTATCCTTGAATAATTAAACAAAAGCACTCAGAACAGTGTCTGGCAAGTGGTAGGATTTAAAAAATATTTGTGGGGAGCACAGACATCACTTAAGAATGGTATGTTCAATCAAAGCTTTTTGGAGGCATGAACATTTAACTTTGAAGGAAGGATGGGATTTCAATGATGGGAAGGCAACCCTGATGAGCATGGAGAAATAAAAGGTTACCACTGGGGAAAGAGAAAAGCACATTTTGGTGGGATCACAGGGCATATGGGAAAAATGGAAGGAAAGGTTTTATGGAATCTAAGTGCAATGTCCTTCAACAGCCAAATTAAGAAATACGGACAGTTTTAGTAGGTGACACAGTCAAAATGCTTGTGAGTAGGGAAATGTCAAGATCAAAACAAGATCGATGGTTTATTTGCCTTCTTTGCATTTCCTCAGTTTAAACATTTTCTTTCTAATGTAAAAACTATGCTACTCTGTTAAATTGCATCATCAGTACATTTAACTTCCGAGAATTAAACTCCAGAAGTTCTGGAGGGAAAGGAAACAGTGTGGGGCTGGCAGCCCTTTTCTCTCTAGGAGCTGATGCAATGGATTCAATCAAACCTGAAGTAGAATGCAACCAGAGATCGTCACACCAAGTGAAGCCAGTCAGAAAGAGAAAGACAAACTCCATATATCACTTACATGTGGAATCTAAAATGACACAAATGAGCCTATATGTGAAAACAGAAACCAGGTCTTCCCTGGGGGCTCAGATGGTAACGAATCCACCTGCAATGCAGGAGACCTGGGTTTAATCCCTGGGTCAGGAAGACCCCCAGGAGAAGGGAATGGCAACCCACTCCAGTATTCTTGCCCAGGGAAATCCCATGGGTGGAGGAGCCTGGCAGGTTATGGTTCATGGGGTCACAAAGAGTTGGACACAACTGAGCAACTGAACAGGCATGCATGCAAGGTATAATACACATTTCTCTGTGTATATAATCCTGTACAGTAATACGTACATATTAATGATGTGCTACTTGTAAGTAGTCATAAAGTAAACGTTTCATGTGTTTCACCTCTTAGAGCACTTAAGACTATTAATGACGATTATAAACTGTAGGCTTTTCCAGTTTCATCATCTTAAGATGGAGTCCAGCAATCACCCTGTTTGTTACAGTTCTGTTAAATCTTGAATTTCTTCCTCCAGGATGATGGACGCACCCATTCACCTGACACCAAAATGGCATCTACTTGATTGAAGAATCCTTAAAATCCATGGCACGTTATTTTCACAGGTTTTGGCATTATACATTAGGTGCAATTTTTATAATTTTCAAGGATGAATTTTAAGAGATTTTTGTGCTGACTGTAGTACCAAACTCCTGAATTAAGATGAGATTTGTGAATTTCCAGATTAAGACAAGATTATTTTGATCTATAGTTAGTGGGAACCTTTTTTTTTTTAAGAAAGGAAACAGATCTCTAGGTTACAAAGAGTTACTCGAGTGGGCCCTTCAGTCATGCAAATATAGGTAGTATTGAGACACTCCTGAGCATTTTTTTCATCCTACCCGCCCCTCCCTGAGGCCCAGGTGCACAAAGCTGATATCTAGAGGGAAAGCAGATTATTTGCATAAAGTGGCTGGGAGCTCCCAGGAGGGAGGAGACAGAGGCTCCCTGCTGCTGAACCTCTCTGCTCAGAGTCTACTTTCTGGTGGACTAAGTGCTCCTCCCCCCACATCCCACCAAGGCAGGACTGGAAACCTAGGGTCTGGAGGAAGTCAACAATAGCAGCAACAAATCTCCAATTTCTTTGAGCAAGGGTTCTTTGGGTTGATGACCCGGGCTCTGACAGAATTCCAAGATTTTTCTTTTGGAGAAGCGTCAGCCTCATTCCCTAAGGCTGTTGGATTTCTCCATTTTGAAACCTATAGGAGGTAAGTGAGGAAAAAGGGCAGTGATGAGCACAAGGTAAGTGGGAGGAGGACTGTTCTTTGTGTGTATGTTCGACTCTTTGGGACCCCATGGACAGTAGGCCACCAGGCTCCTCTGTCCATAGAATTTTCCATGCAAGAATACTGGAGTGGGTTGCCATTTCCTCTTCCCAAGGCTCTTCCCCACCCAGGGATCGAAGCCATGTCTCCTGTGTCTCCTGCATTGCAGGCAGATTCTTTATCCAATGCTGTGCCACCTGGGAAGGTTGTTCTCCTTTTGATGAGTAATTTTGGGGTCTGGGGGCTGGGCAAAGACCTAAGATACAGAAAGAGAAAGGTCTTGGATTTCACATTTGGGTGTTTTGAACAACCGTGACAGCTGACACTCTGAGTTTATGGAGTGTTTCATACTGCTTACATAGAAAACTCATTTGTTCATTTTACAGTTATCGATTACATTACTTTTGTATGCCAGACAATGATCTAGGCTTTGGGAACAATGCAGCCAACAAAACAAACAAAAATTGTTGCCCTCAGGAAGCTTCCTGTCTAGGTTGGGGTTCAGGGGGTGGGGGGTGGGAAGAGGCAGAAACCCTACAAAATAGTATCTTAGATGATACTGAAACCTAAAGATAAGGATAAAAATGGGGGGGGGGGCGGTTATGTGTATAGATAGGTGGTTATTGTTGAGGGAGGTTTCACAGACAATGTAAATTTGACTAAGGATCTGAAAAGGAGGTGCGTGGTTAGTCAGGGAGTGTTTTAGGCACAGAGAGTGATCCAGATAGCTGAGGAGGGACAGTGACTAGAGTCTGAGAAACGGGCTGGAGAGAGAGAAAGTGGGAGGTGAGTTCCTTGTGAGCTTTATAGACCATTTTAGGTCCACTGCAAGGCTTTTTAGCTTTTAATCTGAATGAGACTGAAAGGAAAATTAGAAAAACACAGAAAAAAGCAAAGAAGTGAATGAAACAGATGGATTTGACATGGAGAGCCAATGGCTTCTTTGATCATGCTGAAAGTGAAAGTCACTCAGTCGTGTCTGACTCTTTGTGACCCCATGAACTATACAGTCCAGGGAATTCTCCAGGCTAGAATACTGGAGTGGGTAGCCTTTCCCTTCTCCAGGGGATCTTCCCAACCCCAGGGATCGAACCCAGGTCTCCCACATTGCAGGCAGATTCTTTACCAGCTGAGCCACAAGGGAAGCCCAAGAATACTGGAGTGGGCAGCCTATCCCTTCTCCAGCGGATCTTCCCAGCCCAGGAATCGAACCAGGGTCCCCCTGCATTGCAGATGGATTCTTTACCAACCAAGTTTTCAGGGAAGGCCTGTGTCCCTGTTAAATCCTTCAATAGTTTCTTTTGCCAGCGGAATGAACCTAGATGCTAATTTGGATCTTGCTTCTCCCTCTACTCTTATCTGCTTGATTTATCCTCACCCTGACTAAAAACGATCAGCTTCTCAAATTTCTACTCTCTACCACATTTTTTTTTTTAATGACTTTTGCATGAATCTTATCTTCTGCCCTCAAGTGTTCTCTCTTTGTTAGGGCTAATTCCTATATCCTTTACATCTTAACTTTAATTCAGCCTATGTACTGGCACAAAGTCCTGTGCTTAGAAAGTTAACTCCGAGAGACAGTGACAGACAGGGAAGCCCAGTGTGCTGCAGTCCATGAGGTCACAAAGAGTAGGACATAACTGAGAGACTGAACAACGATTGGTTTAATGCTTTTTTGTCACCAACCTGAAATGCTTAATAATTTTGAACAAGGGGGCCCGCTTTTTCACTTTGCACTGGGCCCTGTATCCATATGTGCATACCTGGTCCTGTTGGTCCTCTACTTCGCACCACTGCCTTGGTGCTGAGCATACAATGGAGTACCAGAAAAAGATGTCCTCCCTACTTTTGCAGAGCTTTCATATTGGTGGAAGAGGTAGACACTAATCAAACAAATCAGAAAATAAACATAAAATAGCAACTGAGAAAAAAGCTACAGAGGAAGATATATGGGAATTTGGGTTAGTCAGAGAAGCCAGGAGATTCCCCAAGGAAGTAAGTATTTAGCCGAGTCCTGGGAGTTCAGTAACTCAGTTGTGTCTGACTCTTTGTAGCCTCATGGACTGTAGCCTGCGAGCCAGGCTCCTCTGTCCATGGAATCTTCCATGGCAAGAATACTGGGGTAGGTTGCCATTTCCTACTCCAGATCTTCCCTACCCAGGGATTGAACTCACATTTCTTGGGTCTCCTGCATGGGCAGGCAGATTCTTTAGCAATAGTGCCACTAACTAAGTCCTGGAGGATAAGAAATGAACCAGACTTTCCATGACTTCCCCCCTTCCCTACATTTGATTAGGTTCCTGTTCTGTCCCCTCTTTGTGCCCTGTACTTTTTGACTGCTAATACTAATTATTAGTATGATAGCCAACTTTATAGGGAGAATATAAGCTCACAAGGCGTCTCATTTTTCACACTGTATTCTCAGATACAGTGTATTCTCACTGTATTCTCAGCACGGCTTGGTCACTCAGTTGTGTCTGACTGTGACCTCATGGACTGCAGCACGCCAGGCTTCTCTGTCCTTCACTATATCCCAGAGTTTGCTCAAACTCATGTCCATTAAGTCGATGATGCCATCGAACCATCTCATTCTCCATCGCCCCCCTTCTCCTCATGCCCTCAATCCTTCCCAGCATCAGGGTCTTTTCCGAGGAGTTGGCTCTTCGAGTCAGGTGGCCAAAGTATTGGAGCTTCAGCTTTAGCGTCAGTCCTTCCAGTGAATATTCAGGACTGATTTCCTTTAGGATGGACTGGTTTAATCTCCTTGCTATACAAGGGACTCTCAAGAGTCTTCTCCAACACCACAAATTAAAAGTATCGATTCTTTGGTGATCAGCCTTTTTTATTGTCCAGCTTTCACATCTGTACATGACGGCTGGAAAAACCACAGCTTTGACTATATGACTGAGCAACTATCACTTGACTATGCGGACCTTTGAAGGCAAAGTAACGTCTCTGCTTTTACATATGCAGTCTAGGTTTGTCATTGCCTTTCTTCCAAGTAGCAAGCATCTTTTAATTTTATGGCTGCAGTCACCGTCCACAGTGATTTTGGAGCCCAAGAAAATAAAGCTTGTCACTATTTCCATTGTTTCCCCATCTATTTGCCATAAAGTTAATGGGACTTGATGCCATGATCTTCATTTTTTGAATGTTGAGTTTTAGGCCATTTTTTTCACTCTTTCACCTTCTTCAAGAGGCTCTTCAGTTCCTCTTTGCTTTCTGCCTTAAGGGTGGTGTCATCTGCATATCTGAGGTTCTTGATATTTCTCCCTGCAATCTTGATTGCAACTTTTGCTTCATTCAGCCCAGCATTTCACATGATGTACTCTGCACAGAAGTTAAAGCAGCATACGGCCTTGACTTCTTTTCCAATTTTGAACCAGTCTGTTGTTCCATGTCCAGTTCTACTGTTGCTTGTTGTCCTGCATACAGGTTTCTCAGGAGGCAGGTAAGGTGGTCTGGTATTTCCATCTCTTTAAGAATAGCTGCGACTACATGGACCCTTGCTGGTAAATTGATGTCTCTGCTTTTTAATACGTTGTCTAGGTTTGTCACAGCTTATCTTCCAAAGAGCAAGCAATGTTTTTGAATGAAAACTTTGGCAATATTTTTGAACAAAAAGATTATTTTTTGGCTATAAGCTTTTTATGCATAAACTTTTTTCATGTAGAATTTAGTAGTCTGCATTTTAAAAAGAACTTTAATTCTATGAGACATTTTCCATTTTCTAAAACAAATTTCATGAACTGGCTAAATCAGGGGCTTTGAAGAATTATCTGGAGGTTGGTGTTCTGAATGCATAAGAGAGGGAGTGACTGGAAGTAAAGAGATTAAGTTAAGAGACAAAACATATAAACTTAGTGTTCATTTACTTATTCACCTACATTTACTAAGGACTTATTATAAATGGGCTTATAAAAAAGGGCTTCCCTGGTGGCTCAGAGGGTAAAGCGTCTGCCTACAATGTGGGAAACCCGGATTCAATCCCTGGGTAGGGAAGATCCCCTGGAGAAGGAAATGGCAACCCACTCCAGTACTCTTGCCTGGAAAATCCCGTGGACGGAGAAGCCTGCTAGGTTACAGTCCATGGGGTTGCAAAGGGTCGGACACGACTGAGTGACTTCTCTTTATTATAAATGAGCTAGTGTAACAGGCATTCACAAAACAATCATTTTTTCTTTTTTAAATGATAGGATCCACTCCTTGAACTTACAGTGTACTGAGTATCAGCGACAGGGCTAGAAAGGAAAAAAAAAAAAAAAAATCCTTCCCCTTTTCAGCTTCCTTCATAGATGTAGCAATGCTGTAATAGAATAGAAGCCTCCCATTAGCAGTGACGCAGAGAAATGTTTGCAAGAATTCTGAAAGTTTGAAGTTCTAGTGGAATATTTTTCTTGTTTCACTGATAGATTTTTTCTATTATTGTAACTTTCTCCTTTGAGTCATGCTTTTATCCTTTTTTGGTTCTTTTGACTACTGCTTTTTTAAAAAAATCAAAAGTAACTAAATACTAAGTAAAAAGGAATGGCTAATATGCTGCTATCTGAGAGACAGTCAGTGTTTTGTTTTTCTATTTTGGAAACCTTTGCAACTGGTTATCCTCCCTAACTTGAAGAAAACTCTTTGCAAAACGTTATTTCCTACGGCCTCAGGGCATACTATCCTTTTCTCTTTTAAAGGCATCCTTCAATATACTCTTCTCCCAGTTGGAAAAGCAGCAGGGAGTCAAGGTGTGGAGTTAGATAGACAGCGAGTTGCCGCTCCCCTTGCCCTGCCTCAGTTACTGCAAGAGCACACGTCTGGGGATAAATGCTTGTGTGGTAGAGTCAATCCTCGTAGTGAAGATTATGAAGGGAACAAAGAAAGGCCCCTTGCATGCCTCAGAGAAAGGTGTTCTCATAAAAACTAATACAGGATGAAAAGAAACAGGGGAAATGAATATTTAAAAAGATTAACTCTGAATGATACCTATAAAGTCAGTTGTTCAATAAGGAAAAGAAAGAGCGAGTACAGACCAGGATAATCTTGAGTAGATCACCTCGACTTCTTTGAATCCCTGCCGTACTTAAAAAGAGTTTGGACCAAGGATCTCTTAAGGTTCTTTCATGTCTAAAATTCTATGGTTCTAGGATGGAACCATCCTAGAAAGGCCATTCTGTTGATTTCCTAGTCTCCAAGAGGGAGATAACTACTTTCTGGGAGAGGAACTGACTGCCTTGATGGAGAATTATCAACGCAGAGGTGGGTGAACTTCTTATTTACGGGGGACCATAAATGCTCTTGGAGAATTTCCACCAGGGCCTTTTCCTCGTTCTTTAAGCTGATTTTATAATTCTCTTGATGCTTTGGGATGGCCAGACGGGAAGAACCTGGGATTCAGACTGGGATTGTTCATTTTAAGCATTTCCCCTTTCCTTATTATTAGATGTTTAAAAAAAAAAAGAAAAAAACACAAAAAACCCTCCAAGAAACAGATCCGAAAGGGGTGGCAGGGGAAACTATGATTATGGGATGTCGAAAGGCCTGTAAAATGCGCTTCCGCATTTTCATATTTTCTTTGGCATTAGGACCTTTTTAAAAAATAGATTTTTGGCGGAGTGGGCCCAGGAATGAGGTTCAGAACAGTAGAGGGGGTGCTGGCGTGGGGCAGCTCCGGATCCGACTCTAGCCGGCCGCCAGGCGGGCTAAAAGCTACAAGGGCGCGGCCGCGGGCGGGCGGGCCCCGGGGAGGGGCTTTGCGGAGGCGCCGCGGCCCGAGCCGAGCGGGGCCGCCGGGGCTCCGCGCGCAGAGCGGCCGGGCGGGCGGTGGCGCTGCGGAGGCGGCGACCGAGGCCGGCGGGCGCGGAGGAGGGGCCCGAGACTGGGGCGGCCGGCGGCAGCCGCCTCGGTGACGACTCCCGGCAGCGCGGCGACCAGAGGAGACCGAGCCGCGGGCCCCGCCGTCGCCGCCGCTCCGGGCTGTCTTCCTTCTCCTCCAGTCTCGGCGGGGGCGTCAGGAATGGGCCCCAACCGCCGCGGGCCCCGCACGCTGCGCCGTCCGTAGGCCCCCCAGCAATCGGAGGTCGGCCGGCCGGCCTCTCACCACCCCTCACCCCAGCCGAACCGTCCCCACCCCAAATCCCCGGGAAGGAAGATGAGGGAAACGGGCCCGGCGCTCAGCAGCCAGAGCAGCAGCAGCAGCGGTCGGGGGAGGGTGTTTCGCCGTTTCCTCTCAGCCGCCAGGACAAGATGGCAGCGGCCGCGGAGAGGGCCTGAGCCCGGGCTGGGTGGTGCCGCCTGCTGAAGCGCCTGGCTCCCTGTCCCCGGCGCGGCCCCGCACCCGCCCCGGACATGCTCAGGGCTGCGGCCGCCCGAAGAGGGGAGAGCGCAGGCCTCTAGGAAGGTAAGGGACTAGGGTAAGGGGGCGCCCCCACCCCGGGGCGGGCGTTGGCAGCGCGGGGTGGGGGGGCGGGGAACGGCTCCACCGGCCGCGCCTGCGTTCGGAAGGCCAGCGGGCCCCTCCTCCAGACCCTCCCTGGGCCCGACGCCCCCTGAGCGGTCCGCACCCGTCGCGCTTTCCGCACCGGGGTCCGCATCTCCTGTGCGCTCTTGCTCCGCCTCTCCGCCTCGCCCCCTTGGGGTGGCGGATCCAGGCGTCTCCCTCGAGGCCGAGGCGCCCCAGGCCGGAGGCCGCCGGACGCGGGGGGCCGCGCGTGGTTCCTGCGCGCGGTGGCGCAGCCTCCGGGAAGCCGCGCTGGGGCTGGGCCGGGCGGCCCCCGCCGCCCCCTGCCAGGGTTGCGCAACGGCTCTTCCCAGCAACCGAAGTTTTGTTTAGTCCCACTGGCGGGGCGGGGAGGGGGGGCTCTTCCCTCCCCGCAGCCTGGGCCGTCACTACGGAGACCTCTTGTCTTTCATTAAGGGGAACAAACACAAACACACGCACGCGCGCAACTTGAGCGCCGCGGCCGATGGCTGCGTCCCTGGCTTTGTGGCCCAGTCCCCAGCGTCGTCGAGCGGCGGGTCCGGAGGGTGTCAACTCGAGGGACGTGAGTGCGTGTGATTGTTGGGGAGGAGAAATGTGATCCGCCGCTCCGCGTCCCCAGCCGCGGCCGGAGGAAGGCGTGGCGGCCGCGCGGCGGGTCTGTTGCGGGCGTCTCTCGTTACGGTGGCGGCCGCCCGCTTCCCTTCGCGGCGCTGGGAGAACTCGCGGACAGACTTAGGAGAGAAATGTCTGTTTTCCTGTCAGGAGGGAGACGGCTGTTTTAACATGGTATGTAGCTCTCGGCGAAGCCTGTTGTTTCCCAGTCTTATCTCTGCTTGAGGAATTGCGCTGAAGGGTGTGTGCGTAAATTACCTTGGACCTGTTACAGAGCAGTCACAACACGTTCAGTCCTTGAACCGTGTTTTCACAACCTCTTGCTGCCCTGTTAGAATTTATTTTTCCACCTGTCGGTCGCTGCTTCTCATTAAAAGGAGCTTCTGTTAGCAACAGAGTTTTTCAGATTATCGTCCAGTTTACAGGCAAAGCTCATGGTTGATTCCATTGTCAACTTTGATGTCTCTCTGGTCTAGGGCCAGAAAAGTTAGCTGGTAAACCAGCCTGTGCCTCTGTTTAGTGGTTTGGTGATTATTATTATTTGTTTTTTCTATTTTAGGTATTTGCTTGTTAGCTGTAGCTTCTGAAGATGAAGGATTTATATTTAAACCGTTTCCGTTTATTTCCAAGTTTTAATTACTGGGCGCTTTAAAATGTTAAGAGGTTCTCTTAATCAAATTTTTGATGAGAACTTTTAAGCAGGATCGGTGAGTTTTGTTACCCAACTAAAAACATTTTAATCCTGCATTCTCAATTTTTCAGAAGCTAGGCAAGCCTCACCATATGTTTGATAAGTCTAAATTCTGCTTATGCTTGCAAGTACGGTGCTAATTTTATACAATGAGCCATGATAAGATTTTGATAGGTCATGATTAAACTTAGGATTTAAGTAAACAAAATAAGACTGACCCTTTTTGTTTTCTTTAAAAAATAGTTTTTATAGTTTTGTTGGTTACCTCATGCCTTCATGCCACTTAAGAGTAATTGAGATGTACCAACCAGGTAAATTAAAGTTCCGTACTTTTTAGTCAACAGGCTATTTCTTGGTATATTTATGGGCGTATTAGTGAAGTATAGGGTACACTTATTTATGAAATACAATGGTTGAGGTTTATTTTTTTTTCAGATTTTTGAAACGTTTTTAATTTGTGTAAAGGTAAAGATGTGCTGATAAATTTGATATTTTGGATATTTCATTGTGTGTGGTTCTTTTTTGTATTTATGGGGAAAATTAATTTGTTCCTTAATTTTTATACTCTAGGGACTACATTTAAAAAATTTTTGTGGAGAGCCTTAGCTTAAAACTATGTTTTAGAAAGATAAAATGAGCTTGAACTCTAGAACAGAGCCAGCCATTAAATGTTTCAGATTTATATTTGGACTCTGCTGACTATAGTAGCTAAACATACATATTAGGCAAGCAGATCATAACCTGGTGAGCCAGTCTTAGTTTATTGTCCTAATACCTTTTCCATTGAACTTGTCATTATCTTGATTATAAACCAGTCATTGGCTTCTGGGCATGGAGTTTTAGAGTCACATAAAAGTGGATGATTTTTATGGAATAATTCCTCTTGTAAACATGCTTGAAAAGAAGCTTCAGATCATACTATTTTAATTTTTTGGATGTTCTGTCATGGGTATCATAAAACAAGGTGCAAATTACAGAGGTGGGTTTCTGTAGCTAGTAAGGCAGGGCACATAAGTATTTGTTGAATGCCGATTATTGAAAGCCCCACCCCCTTTTTTTCCCTTGCAACTTAAAATAGCAGCAGCTGTCAAGTGAACTTTTTCATTGAGCTTTGTTTTAAATATTTGATATATCAACATTGAGGGCATCTCTATGGAAGGGCAGATGAAGAAAATGTAAATTTCAGAGTGCTAAAATGCTGTTTCCCAATCCTGTGTCACATCCATTGAACGGAATACTTGTTTGAGTGTTAATTTCCATTTGAATGTTAGAATGATATATTCTGGTAGCTTTCAAAGTTAATTTTCTTAGTATGATGATATGGTAGATTAGAATTGCATTATTGGTGGTTAGTTAATTCAAAGTCTTTAGAAAAATATAGTTTCCATTGTAACTTTACTTATGTTTGAATTTGGAGATGAAAATATCATGGCATTATTTAGATTTAAGGGTGTTTTAAGGACCTTTGAATTTTCCCACATTTAAAGTATCTGTCCAGAATTATTCTTGCTTCTTAACTATTAAAGGACATAAGATGATTTGCTGCATGATTATATTGTTGGTACCAAAAGAAATCTTCATGTGAAATTTCTGTGTTTGCAGCTGTCCTAGTTTCCTAAAGTCTGAAATTGAGACTCCCAGTGTGATATGTTTAACTTGGAAGTTACTTTTGATGACAAACCCTAGAACTTTGTAAAAATCAAGGAACCTATCAGTGTATTTTATTTTAAAAGAGCCCCTCCCTGCTCCCTTGGCCCCCCTTCCCTTCCACTTGCTGAAAGCTTTGTGGTGGGTCTAACCTTTTCTGTGTAATATGAATGTAAGTCTAAATAAGTTATTTGAAATGTCCTTTCTGATTCTGGATTCAGCTGCTTAAAAAATTTATATACATACACACACACGCATATATATATATATATATATAGTCTAATACATTAAACCATACAATATAAATTGAATATAGGGCTATAAATTTGGAATAGAAGTTTTAAATTAGTGGAGGATTTTAGGGTTAGCCAAAGTCCACTCCTTTTTAGTTGGATTGGTATAATTAAGAGTGATTTGGGGAGGAGCAGTTTAATATTAGTGTGCTGCTTCTGTAGTTTTGTCACAGCTGTCCCTTTTTTTGAAGTCTTAATCACTGTCAAGACAGAACAGGTATTTGGAGGATGTATGTTACACATTTTACCCAAATATTTGTTGAATTAGACCTTGACCAATTTAGCGGATCAGGCTGTTCTCCACAGTTGCAACTTGGGCCATGTGTCACTACACAAAGGCAACATGTTGTCTGGATCCTGAAGCATGCCCCTGAATGCTCGGGCGTTAGA